ATCGCCAGTGTCGGAATCAAAAATATCGTTTGGAATTACTCTCAGGCCGGGCACGGATGGGCCCCGTCTGGAAAACGCCAATGTATAAATATACTCATTAGAGTACATATTGTTTTTTTTTTCGCCAGGCACTGTCATAACACGGAACGGACACGGCACGGATATGTATAAATCGACCTTAATTGTCGGTGATCGGTCTGACCTCCAGCAGCCAACTCGTAACGTTCTCATGTACGCAACTTAATACAGTTAGCGACAGCTAACTACGTAAACTTGGTCATGACTTGTCACCGACTATCAGTTTGCTGATTGTCATCAAACAGGCTGTACGAACAAACCAGTAAGCAGTTGTCACCTTTTTTCTCTCTTATACAGGGTGCGAGCTATGACAGTGCCCTAAAAAGTGTAATTTTTCGTTTTCACCCTGCATTTCAGTGGCAAAACGTAATTCTGTTTGTAGCATTACTATAACTATTTTTTCTATAAAAACCAAATTTATTAGAATAATAATTTCACCTACCTTCTTTTTATTTTTCACTCACTTAAATTCAGTGGTTTGTGAAACGTACACGTAAAACGTATCACTAATCTAGACTTAAGTCAATAAACAAAGTTACAAAATAATAAGTAATGTTCACTAAAGAATGAATATTAAGAATGAAACAAACACCCGTTGCGAAGCCTATATAGGTATAAAAATAAACTATGTGAATCCCCGAGAAACCATATGTAAATCCCTGCGCTGAACAGGGTTGACCACTCGTCTAGATTAATTTCTTTGCATTTTGCACAACACGCAAAGTATAATGCATTGCCTAACTTCCCACTGAAAATTTGCAACAGCTCAATATAAAATCTTTAACCCCCAATACTTTGTGCTGTTATGCAAAATGCAAAGAAATGAATGTAGACTCTAGTGATCTACGGGTTAAAGACTATTAAGGCCCGTATCGTCAGTCGTCCCTACAATTGTAGGGCGCCTTTATGGCCTCCTTGATTGTCATAGTTTTCTACTTCTCCGTGTCAGCGCTCTATTTTGAGGTTATGTCACAAACATCTATTTGCATCAAATTGTGCTTGCTTTTGAGTTATATCATGTTATACCAGCCTGAAATTTCCTACAATTTAAAAAGAAAACATATCTTTACAATAGCAGATCGCTGACGCTGACACGGGACAAGTGTAATCTAGAAATTTTGTAAGGAGAGAAAGAAGTATGACAATCAAGGAGGCCATAAACGCGCCCTACAATTGTAGGGACGACTGACGATACGGGCCTTAGTTTTTGTCGTCATACAACCTAACCAGAAAAGCCAGAGATACCTAATATAAAATATTTTTTTTCTAATGTTTTATTTTTTTACTTTTTTGCTTAAAAGGATGCATTTCTATATTTTTAATTTTATTTTTAATTTTTTCTTTTGTTTCTGCAAACCTTTCAAAAGATCAATAGAAATATGACATTTAACAAAAGTTTTCACTAAATCACTAAACTTGTTCAAAAATCAATGGATCTAGTGAAATTTCACTAGACCTGGCAACATTGATTAACATTATCTTAATGACGTTATGTTATGCATCGTTACACCCTATTTCACAAGTATTCATTACGGTAGAATGACAGCTGATTATCTAGAAATATCTCAAAAATCAAATTCAAGCGGATAACCAAATGGAAATGGTATTTACCATTTTGGGTTGATATTTACCGATGCATTCAAGCGAGTGTAGTTATCAGTTTGGTTATAAGATCCGTGACGTCACGAATCAGCTGTTATATGTTATAGTTATCACCGCAAAATTGTGGTATTTACCCAACTCAAGAGTAGTTTTATATTTCTGGTTATTATTTGAAATGTGACAAGTTAGAATTTTGCCGGGTATTGGATATTGTTATTGTACTTCAGCTTCATTTTTGAGAAAATTGATACAGGCTGACTTCAGTTTTACCATAAAGTGGAGCACCTTATTAGTTATACTCATTACGGTTGTTGGGGACACTTTAAATATAGTTCCTATGCTTAACAAAGTATCCTGTGTAGCCATATACCACAAGAATATTAAAATATGGCCATATTAACTCACTAGTTGATATCCACCTGTATACGGTTTTGCTAATTTCTTTTTTCATCATCTCTGCTGAATCAATATGAATGTTTTCTTTGACATGCGGAAAAATTTAGAGAATTGAAAGTTATCATGGCTACAAAGCCATGGTTCCATCATTAAAAAAAATCTGAAAAAAAACATTTCTCCCATGAATATTATGAAAGGTTTCTTATTTAAACTTTCCATATACAGTTGTAGACGAACAAGCATCGATTATTAAGTGATAATAAAAATAATCAGAGATTATATACCCGCTTTTCTAAAATAAAAAACTTGCAACGAAACCGCGGTTAAAACCAACGCGTTCAAGCGATTCGTGTAACTGACGTCATCAACCCGTGTGTCATCTTGAACCATATTATAACCGCGGCACATAACACAGAAATTTTGGTTATTCGCTTGGATTTGATTATGGCTCTGTCTACTGGGGGTCGCACACGATGCTTCCTACGTTGTTTACAACGTTCGATACCCCACAATTAGCAAGCACAAAACATATACACTTGGCAAGTGTGTCTCCTACTCCTACAGGATGGGATCTCAGATGGGATGCACTCATGAACTTTTTAGTTTCAGACGTTCGACGCATGGTGGCGCCAAAGTCTATTGTCGGTGTCAGTGGCGCGCTCGAACCTTTACAACTGAAGGAAAAATTATACAAAGTGAACGATGAAACAACTGAAGCGCCAAAAAATAGTTTCAGATCTGTCTTCAGTGACCAAAACTTAAGTCTGTCAGAAGCCTCAGAAATGTTGAAAAACGGGATTTGACCGATTTTTGTTTGTTTTTCGACGATAAATCCGCCGCCACTGTACCGATTTTCAAAAACTGCAGAGCTTATTCGTCATTTTCATAGTAGTAACCTATGGTCGAAATTTCATCAAAATCCTTATAGTAAGTACTTCCTGAGTTATGATTTATTTAATCGTTTTCGTTAGTTATGAAATGCAAGTCAATATATCTCTCAACTTGTCTTACATTGCGACAGGACATTATATTGAAACAACTGTAAGCACTTGATAATTTATAATTTACTAAAATACATATCTTTCGACCGGCCATAACTCACCTGCGACATGAAAAAAAAAATATTATGGCAGCCTATGCTTTGTATGTATACCAATGTTATTCATTTTCCTCAAAAGTTAGTAACATACATTATTATGAATAGGTAGGTATTAAAATCAAAATACTTCCCACATACCACTACTTGGCCACAATCACAGCAAACAAGTAAATGTTTTTCGCCGTTACTGGGTCTAACCTAAAACCGTGAAACACATGACATCTTGTGTGGGAGCGTAACGAACCATGCTTCCAATGTTGTAATGTCCTTTGACGCCGGTCAAATTTACCGACAAGAGCCCGAACGTACCATGTGGCGAACGTTGGACACAAGTAATCCGTCAGCGCTCTCCCATCCGATGTGGCGATTGGCCATGTGTACAACGTTGTTAGGCATTCGCCATGACGTGTGGGACCGGTTTATCTGCCATTGACGAATTCGTCAGAATTATGTGTCCTTTGCGTATAGCGTATATGGGGAAAGGGGAATTTTGAAATGTTATACTATTAGCCACAAAAGACATGAGACTGCAGAAGTGAGAGCTGCACGTTAAGCAATGGCAACACCGTTGACGTTTGTCAGATGGTTGCGCCGTCGACTTGCCTGGAGACGTGGAGGAACTACAGAAATAATGCCAAGAATGCGCCTGGAATAAGGAATGCTAGCAATGTGCCTGACGTTTCGTTCGACTATAATATTTGAAATCCGCTGAAAATGATATTTCCAATATTGACGGATTATTTCATGAACGTATGTTCATAAAATATCCCCAATAAGGGTAATATCTCTTTCAGCAGTTTTGCTAAGAACAAGGTTCAGAATAATAAAATCCAACCCCAATTATGAAGCAAGAAATATATTTATTTTAAATTCATGTGGTGTGTTGCAAAACACAGGTGACTCACTCCATTGTACTGCTTCTTTATAATTCTGAAACAATACAGAAAACACGTAATTCATAATTCTTTGTAAATAAGCTAGTCACTTTTAATTAGTTTGCTCAGTTTTATGCCTTTAATTTGTCGGCCATTCATACTTTATATAACGGTGCCAGCTACAAGGATTATAAAGAGGCTGAATCCAGACATGCAATTTTAAATAATCTGCCAACTACATGGTGCCGATATGTTAAGTTCACAGCCTACCTGTAGCACTTTATTACTTATCACAGAGTCTCCTGAACTTTTACATCTCCCACAATAGTCACAATACATCTCACGTATACGATCACAGCTACTGATAGTGTTGCTTTATATTTTATGCTCATTTTTTACCAAATAACACAGAAAGCATCAGCGTTGATAATCTAGATATTAACCAAAACAAACGCCATATTTGATATTTTTACATTTCGATAAAGATAGAGAATCCTGGCAAGCAGCATGGCCGGTAATGCAGTTTCCTCGATTTTGTCTGAAAAGCTTGTCTTTGGTACTGCTAGTTCGTCCATAAGTCGTTTCACCCCCCTCATAAGCTTTAAATCTACCGTAACGTATACGACAAAATTCTGTCATTGATGTTTGTTGGTTAGTTAGTTGTAGATTGTAAAAACTTCAAACTAAAAAACAGGTGGATTCTTTAATTCACCGGTTGATTCCACCACTGATGCTTATGGTTGACACTGTTGACAGCTTTGTATGGTGATGGCAGCAACCGGTTGAATTGAAAGGACAGATGTCTGGTCCACCGGTGGCACCGGTTGCTCAACCGGTGAATTTAAAAATACACCAAACATTGGAAAAATTATCTTTTGATTGATAAAATGAGTGTTTAGGTCAACGTCCATTTATTAAATTGAACCAGCACGTACTTTTGTTGCAGAAAAATGGAGGAAATAGTCACAACTTGTCAGAAAGGAGTAAGGATAATCAAACTGAACCGTCCCGGTAAGAAAAATGCCATGAGTCCAGCTATGTACAAACAAATAACGGAACTACTTAACGAAGACTCGACGAACGATAGCATTGTCATAACAATCATTACTGGAAATGGAGACTACTTTAGCAGTGGCAATGATATGAAACTTGCTATGGAATTGTTGGATAAAGATCGCTTAGCAGTAGTTGAGGATATGGTGAATGCCTTTATTTCATACCCAAAACCTGTTATAGCTATAGTGAATGGTCCTGCAATCGGTATTGGAGCCACTGTGGTTGCATGCTGTGATGTTGTATATGCTTCAGATACTGCTACCTTTAGCACCCCTTTTGTACATCTAGGTTTGGTAGCTGAAAGCACTGCTAGCTTTTCCTACCCCTTCATCATGGGAAGGAGCAAAGCTTCTGAGATGCTTTTGTTAGGAGAGAAACTAACAGCTCAGGAAGCTTATCATTTTGGTCTTGTTTCTAAGATAATACCCAAAGGGGAGTTAGAAAGTTTTATACAGAGTTTGTATAAGTATGGAGAGCTACCTTTGCGGATAGTCAAAGCTAATAAAAAAATTATCATGCAAAATTTTAAAGATATCCTCTGTGAATGTAATAAAAGGGAAATCAAGGGATTGCAACAGTGTATGCAGGCAGATGACTTTGCTGAGATAATTATGAGAGCTTTAACTAAAAAAAGTAAATTATAATATGTATAGAATAAATTAATATTGGATCACAGCAGAACCAGTATGTTGTTATTTGTATAAGGAAATGGAAATTAGTTTTGAAGAAAGAAGTTGCGCTGGTCAATCAAATTAAAATGAAAAATTTGATTGTTGATATAGAATAATTATGATAGAGCTACACATGAAATAAACCATTCAACTATAAGTTATATGTTAATCAATGCCAGAGCTCAAGTATCATAGGTACCTTGCCCAAAGTTTGCATTCAGTATATATTTTATGCACAAAAATGCTTGAATCAATCTGCGTTTGTTGGGTCAAAACAGTTAGAATTAATTTTTTATATGTACTGCAGTTTTTTTAACAGGTTAACTGCCATAGAGGTCATAATGACCACTAGGTAACATGGTCAATTTTGCCGTGGCAGTCATTATGACCGCTTAGAGGTAACTACGTGGTCTTGCCTATCTACCATGTATGACCGCCGACTGAATGTTAATTGTGCCGGAAAGATGACCGCCCGGCGTGTGTGAACACGTGTGATATAGTAATTTTTCGGTTGAGTATTTTTTACATTAGAAATATGGAAATAAATCAAGGACAACATTTCTATCTTTTATTAGTAAGTAAGTTACAAAATAGTGGAAATATCTACGCAATAAAATAAACACTGCTATTCTAAAACAAAGAAAAAAATAGTTCTGTTTTTCACAAATAAAATATTTTATGTTTTCTTGTGCTTTTCGTTAAAACAAGAAAGGCAAAAATGGGGCTTATTCTCGCAGTCACCGCAGAAATATGCCACCTTTTTCACTTGGTTTTTTTGTATTTGCCCAGCCATCTTTTTTCTATAACAACCTAGGCAGTATTTTCTTACGGTAACCGCTTTTCCTTCTTTTCTAATCAATATATGATTCTTCAGGCTTTTTCTAGAAGGTATAGTGCTTGTATTGGTAACATTTTGTGGGTCTTGGTTTGTGTCCCCTTCAAGTAATTTCTCAATAATATTTTTTCTGAATTTAGTAATTGTCATAGAATCGCTTGATACTTTCTTATAGTGTATAAATGCATTTACGAGGGATGTCCCTAAAATAAGTTCTATTCCGAGTTTTCGGTACCATTTTACAGACTTCCGGAGTGCCGAACTGTAACTGGCTAATTGATCCGAAATATCGATTGATGATTTTCCAGAATTATAATCTGTAATTGCTATAGGTTTCTGAATTGCTCCGGTACGTCTCATTACTTCTGTAGTTTCATCAGTATGCTTTGTTGACAATAACAAAACATCCCGTTTATCGTGCCATTTTATAATGCAGGTACCTCTGTTATTCTCTTTTGCTATTAATTCTCCTTTTTTAATTTTTTCCTTGTTACTTCTGTTGGGTTTCCTTTTCGGTTAGCCCGAAGCGTGCCGATGAGATGAGTTTTGTTATCCAATAAAATATTAGATAGTTCCAAACTTGTATAGAAGTTGTCCGTAATAATAGTACGTCCGCTATTTAGAAGTTTCTCTGATAGCCTTAGAACTACATTTGTAGGTACAGAACCACCCCTATCTTGTTCTTTTCCTGCGTATATTTTGAGATTCCACGTGTAGCCATTGTCACAACACAATTTGAACAGTTTTATACCGTACTTGTGTGTTTTTTGAGGTATATACTGTTTTAAAATTAATCTTCCCTGAAAAGGAATAATACTTTCATCTATGCAAAATACTTCGCCTGGAGTATATACTTCCTGATATCTTTTCAAAAATAAATCAAGAAGGGGTTGAATTTTGTGTAGCCTGTCTCCTTCTTCGCACTCTTCATTATTTGAAAAGTGCCACATACGTAACAACATTTCAAACCGATTTCTGCTCATTGTGGATGAAGCAACGTCATTTCTAAACAGACGATCTCGGCTCCAGTAGTCCCCTATGGATGGCATTCGAACAAGTCCCATGTACCCAATCAAACCTATAAATTTTTTCATTTCGTTCCGTTGGATGCCAGTCATGTAATCGCGATTTTGGAGCTACGTCATTCGCAAGAACAACCTGTGTGGCATATAAATTGGTTTGATGTACTACTTCGTCTAATATTTCTGTGTCGAGAAAAAGAGAAAAACACGCAAAAGGAATATTTTCTTCGGCAAGTAGTGTTGCTAAATAGGTGTGGGTAATCCCAGGAGTTCCAGTATATGGAAAATTAAGATGATTACCCACTACGTCTGTCCACGAATCTTCTCTTTTACTACTTTGTGGCCTTTGTACGATAGTATTCACTAAACCCACCGATTCTATTGAATCTTCAGAGTAGGAGGAATGTTCCGCTTGTCCTGAAGAGGTCGCTGCTTCTTGATGGTCTGGAGGTAACACATATGAGGTGGACGGAGGAACCTTATTATTAGAAAAAAAATTGGATTAGTAATTAGGAACCTGCGTCGTTCGCATTTGCACTCACCGAATCAATTGAATCTTTAGAGTTGGAGGAATGTTGCACATGTCTTGAAAAGGTCGTCGCATTTTGATTGTCTGCACCATTTTCAACGCTCTCGGAAGTAGTAGAAATGTCTGATGAAGAAGGAATGTAATGCTTATCCTTCAGCGTATCATCGCTATCCTCATCATTATCGCTGGATTCTTCAAAAATGTAAATTATAAATTTCTAACCTCACTAATTGCATAGACGGAAATTTACCATTTTTTTTGGCATTCAATGCCATCGCGAGCAATTTCATACTTCGACTGTTCCAAAACATGTTGCCCGTATAAATTATTAGTCCGACGTACACTACTTACTCGAAATATTATAAACTATTTACATATAACGCTACGGAAATAAAACAATAACGCTACCTAGACTGCGTCGCGTTGAAGGTCATACCGCTCGGCGCTGGGGACCAATCCATGCTTACTACGCCGGAGCGGTCATAATGACCGCTTATTAAGTTTTTCAAATAATATTGGTGAAAATACTTCCAATTGCAAAATAATTGCAGGATGTGTCTATTAGAGTATTAAGGAACCTATTTTCAACTTCAGCGTGTTGGGCATGTTTTCAAATTTTCACATGGCAGTTAACCTGTTAATGAGGTTTAGGATATAATTACTATGGGTTGTTTTGGTTTTTAATAAAACTATTGACTTTTAACAAAAAATATCTAGTACAAATAGGTATTTGATTGTAGGATATTGAGTTATGAGATTTATGATATATTGTAAAACCATTGTTGAGCAAATAAAGGTATTCATTATTCGAATGTTGATTACTTATAGTACGTTTTAAATCTAGTTTATCTCAAAGTATTCAGAAATATGCATCACAATATTTATTTTTTTTATTATATATAAATGGCTAGATCCTTAGAAATGCTTGAGAAAACAGAAAACTCACCCCTTGTGTGAAAAGTTATAATAGAAATAAAACACTTGCAATTTAAATATTTTCCATATAATCAAAAATTGTATGGGCAGATACATAAAGAATAGAGATTTTACTTACAAATATATACATGGCGATCCATCATTAATAAAAATTCTGGTAATGGATTGCCAATCAACTGCAAAGTCACAGGATATGAGCATTAAAAACGCAATACATTTTATCATTCATTCTCTTCTGCTCTATTTTATCACGCACCTGGTGATTGAACGAAATTGGTTGAGTCTACTTATTGTATTGTATTTGGCTTGCCTGTTGGAGCTAATCTTGAGACGATGTAGAACGCTTTTCAAAATCACTGTTCCTCTAAAAGCAAGCTGGATACTCTGTCAAAAACCAGAGTTAATCGATTCCGCTCGGTTTCAGTACGCGATCAAATGTTGAGGTAGAAGAATGGAAAGATGATCGAAAAGGATACAAGATTTGATCTTGTTCAAGACATGCAATGTAAACTTTGGTAAGGTAGTTAGTTATAACATATGAAGATATAGACATAGTAAAATGGCAATTATGGGACATACTTGAGAATAGCTGGAACTAATAACGGTATAATGCATAATATATCATTTCATCATGTCTGTTTCTTTCGAAAAACTGTAACTCTATTGAAATCGCAATTACAGCTCGGCAAAACAAGCAATACTCGCTATTGGCCTGTGTTTTAACGCGGCGTAAATGAAGTTTGAATAGGGTTTATATGCTAGGTGTCAAAGGAGTATAAATCTATGTGCAGCACTTTTGCTAACACCAATAGTTGAACAATATTCACTCTGTAAGAATATTGAATGAATACAAAGTTTGATATCGAGTTTTTTCTTGACTAGAACATTCATTCTGGAACAATTTTCACCCAAGCCTCTTCTTCTTCCCCATTTTCGTTGGGTATCCGAACCTTCACTAGTTGAACAGGGCCCTCTGGAGTTTCTATGATCTGCGTTTCTTCGCACGTTAAAGATTCACTTGCAATCAATTCATCGTAATCATCATCCTGAAAAAAATGCATTTTTAGGGCATGAAATTCCCCTACAGCCCCATTGTACCCATGGCTATTTAGCCCTCAGGATTGCATGGTGGCTCAATCATAAAAAAAGGAATTTTCTCATGCGCTATCGTACACAAATGTTTTTAAAAATTATTCTCGTGGATCCTGAATGGCGGGACAACGTACACCCTATTTCACCAATATCCATCGCGCTTTGACATCTACTGAGGTGAACAGTTGATTAGCAAGTGACATTTTTGTGTTAGTCTGCAACGTTGGCAATAATGAATTGGGTATAAATCTAGTAAATCATCTTGTTTGTAGCGTTTTGTATTTTGTATGCAAATGAACTTTATTAAATAAAAGAGCTGTCAGCAAGTACAAAGTGAATCTGTAGCGTACAAAAAAATAAAACAAGATACGGCTGTATCTACCTGGCGTTGAAGGATCCGTCAGAATTATGTGTCCTGTGCAGATATTGGGAATTTTAAAGTATTACTAGATAACCAGCTGTCATTCTACCGTGATGGATACTCGTGAAATAGGGTATATGTACGATAGTTTACTATGAACCATAACCTACGTTATATTGGCCGACGCAACAATATCAAGAGTGCATTTAATAATTAAATTCTTAATTTTCTGGGGGCGTCCCACATATTTTACATACCTCATCCATAGGAACATCGGCTTCTCCAGTATTGCCAATCAACTCATTTTATTTATTTTCCAAATTATTATATACGTACTCGCTGAGATGCATTTTCAAGCATCCCGGAACTTGCCCGGGGCATAAAAACCCACGAAAAGAATGCGATAAAAAACTCCGGTTGATGACTTGGCCGAGCGGGACTTCAATTGTCAATATTTATTTTTCAATGCACAAACGGATGTCCCAAAAATAAACATTTCTGTGAAATTAAGATACAACTTTTTACGTGATGAGGTTTTTTGTAACAAACCTAACTTGCCCGGAGTTACACAGTTCTACTACGCGCGTATACGGATCCGATTTCACACGTTTCTCACATACCAGTGTAGTTAGTTAGGTCTCGTTTAGTGCTCGCCTCCCTCAAGCTTGGGTTCTCAGCGAGCGAGATCCTCGTGTTCGTGGAATTGTCTACGTCTGACGTCACGAGTTTTCCTCCGATGGCATCGGGAGTGAAGCAAGTCATGATCTGCCTTTGAAATGTACTATTGAACGCGTACCAGAAAGAAATCAAATTGAATTTCAGACATTTGTAGCATTTTTTTAATCTTCAGGGTGTTGATTTCTTATTTCAGCGTCTGCCAAATTCTGTTGCGCCAAATTTCTTCATGCAAGTATCCACTTCTTAACCAAACAAAGCGTTTACTTTTCTTTTTTTGGGGGGACTTCTCCTGTCAACTAACATACCACTAAAATATGACCTCAAAAAAGCACAACTGTTAATCCATCATGATCGGCTTCATGAAATAAACTGAATCGTGATCGTGTGAACTATCCATACCCTTCGCTGGTTAGCTTTACATTCCCTATTCAGGACGACAGTCACGAAAGAGAGATCGAAAGCTTGCACATTGTCGTGTTTTTGCCCCATGTGGACCTAGCTATAAGAGCTCAAACGTGTTCCTACCTGATCTGAGGCGGCAACCACCTGCTCTATCCTCCCAATAATCTCCGCGTCATTCTCATCATCCGTACCGCTCTCCGCAAAGTTGAACTGCTCCCCGTTGATAATAATATGTCCGCCGGAGACTTCCCCATCTGCATCCACCGTCGCATTCTGGATGTAAAGTTTCGACTCTACGGGCTCGGTGACGACGGATGATCTGGACGCACCGTCGCCATTACCACCGTCGAGGATCCCCGTCCCGTCGATGATCTCCATCTCGCCGGCTGCGTTTACGGTTACTAATTCGTCATCGTCGGTGGTCAGTCTACAACAAAAGAACGGAAGTTTCATCAGAGAATTCGTTACAATAATATCGAATATCGTACTGTCACAGTCACCTAAAACTACTATCTATAGGTGACTATACTCTGAATCTTCACGCACATGCAATAGCAGCAATATGTACCATCTCTTTGAAGAAAAAAAAAACGGCAGACTTGGGCGTCTAGGGGGGTACTCGTCCTTCTCTAAATCCGCCCTTGCGGAATGTCTAAAGTGTTCCAAGAAAATACTATATCTAACAAGGAATTTCTGAAGATGAGATACATGCCAGTCATCCAAACAAATCAATGATATGATTGCTGATTTGATACAAGCTGAACCAATCTGGTCCATTAAATTTGACCCTTCCGGAGTATCAGAAGTTCATTGTTGGAAAGTACCGACGGTTTACGAATAGGCCACCACGGATTCCATCAGTGGATCAGGGTCCATAAAGAAGTTTTGTTGGCACTGAAAATAACTCTAAATATAAGCTGACCGCATCTATAAAACTTTTGCATTTTAATATTCCTGAATATTTCCACTTAAAAGTTTCATCCTCTCAAAAAAACAGCTTGAGTTTTTTAGCATTGGAAGTAACTCTAATTTTACAAGCTGATCGCATCTATAAAATTTTAGCGTTTGAATATTCCAGAATATTTTCACTTAAAACTTTCATCCTCCCAAAAAACATCTACACGCGTATATAACGGACACAATTTAAGGTCCTATAAATAATTGCATGTAACATCCTCTGATATTATAGACTCGCTTAAAATAGACCCTCGCTTATAGCGGACTATTTTAATCCATTATATGCGAGCTATTTTGGTAGTTCCCAGAAGCAGATTTAGCTGATACAATCGTTTACGGCGGTTTGGCTTCGCAGTTTGCATTCGAACTTGGCCACCATTGTTATACTGTATTTATAAGAGTTATAAACATCTAGAAAAGTGCGAAACGTGGATTCACTTTACACGAAAAGTTCACATAAAATAGGGAGCTTGAGCAGGGTTCATCTCAAGCAAATATATGCGCTCGTATGGATATAAAAAATCCACTGTGTCAAATATATGGAAAAACCGTGACAAAATTCACTGGACTGGAAATCAAATAGTCAAAATAAAAAAATGCGGCTATCGCTGCATTCCCAAGTCGATTTAAATGGTTTCAACAAAAGCGTGCTAATAATTTTCTAATAAGTGGACCTATGCTACAAATAAAGGCTGAAGAATTTGGGAAATTGATTGGAGATTACTTCAATTGTAGTTCCGGTAGACAGGTTGAAGAAAAGACATAATATTGTTTTTGGAAAAATGTGTGGTGAGTCAGCTTCAGTTGACAAGAACGTTACCAATGACTGGATTTCTCAAGTTTGGACCGTAATATCCAGTGATTATTCAGATGATAACATATTCAATGCAGATGAAACCGGGATATTTTATAAAATGCTACCAGATGAAACTCATAAATTAAAAGGTGAAACTTGCAATGGAGGGAAACTATCAAAAGAGCGAATAACTGTTATGATTTGAGCTAATGCTTCCGGTACTGAAAAACGGAAACTATATAGAAATTCATATTCTAATTTTTTTGATATTCAATGGCAGTGCTGCAAAGAATTTATGACCTTTTATTTCAGGGAAAAGACCCGGCAACATACCTATGGGAAAAGTGGTTTCGGTTAATTTCGCTGAATTATTGATATGTTATGCGCCTTGGCATCCTGAACAAATGTTTCAATGATCACAGGCCCCCAACCTCAACGGATTCCACGATATAGGCCGTCCAAGTCGGCATAATGGAGTATCGGCCCTACTCAATATCTACTTTAAGTGGAAGAGTGGTTTTGGTCAATTTCGCTGAATTACTCATAGGTTATGTGTCTTTTCGTCATGACTAAATTCCTCAATAAGAACATGCCCCAAGACACAACGGGTCCCAAGATATAGGCCGTCTGAGTCAGTGTAATGGAGTAATCCGTCCTACTCGAATATCTGCTTCAAGTAAAAGAGTGGTTTCGGTTAATTTGTCCAAGTTTTTCAATATGTTATGTGCCTCGGCATCCTAATCAAATGCCTTAATATAAAAGGCCACAAAACTAAACGGGTTCCATGATATAGGGCGTCCAAGTCGGTATAATTTATTATAGGTTATACTGGAATATATGCTTTAAGTGAAAGAGTGGTTTCGGTTAATTTTGCTGAATGTTTTATATGTTATGTGTCTCGGCATCCTGGACAAATGCCTTGATAGTCACAAGCCCCAATACCAAGTCGGTATAATGGGATGTCGGATTTACTTAGATATCTACTCTATCTAGAAGAGTAGTTTCGGTTAATATGATATGAATAATTTTTGAAATCTCATGTATCGCGTCATCCTGAACAAATGTCTCAAAGATCACATATAATTGGAACCACATCCCTTTTCCATTGGGGTTAGAAGAATTAGATAGGTAGGCCGACGAATCTATTAACCGGCTACGACTCAACAAGAGCGATGACAGTGACAGCTCCTAGTGTATTTGTCTATATAAGGGAGACTGCTTCATGCGCAGCCGCACATTAATCGAATACGTGGTTGTGAGAGGACACTTTTAGGTTAATCGTTACTTGTTGCAATCTACAAACAGTTCATTACTAAGTACTGTACAAGCATTTTCTGTTTAGTTTTCCACTGCATTATATACTTTTTTTGGTCGTTTCTCATATTTCGTTTATCGTTAATCGTGTTTCCTTTTTGGTCTCTCGTTTTTCGTTTTCTATTTTGATTTTTCGTACTGTTTTAATTTCGTTATTTTTAGCATTACGTGTAGAGTTTTAATTTTGAGCTGTGCAGCTTGCATTTTATACTATAGCAGCGAGCATGGCGCAGCACATGCCATGTTATGTGTGTAATGAAGTTTTCGCTATTCGAACCATGCCACTTGTGAGAAACTTCAGCAATCCAAAAGTGGAGATTGCTATGAGGTACCGTGAGGAGCTGAACCACTGCTTTTGTGATAAACAATATATCACGTGTTTGTTTTAACTGTGATTTATTACTTACACGGGACGAAGCGGACTTGCAAAATCCCGAAAGTCTTAGGTTGAATGTCCTTAGACAAAAATCCTCTGAAACATGCATGATATGTAATCATCTGAGTATACATTTGCACCGGCTTAGTATTGAGGCTTGAGTTGAAATATATTTGGTGAGCAACATTTACGTCCCTCAAGCATCTCGGATCTGTTCACAGAACCTCGATGAAAAATCATTTCGTTTGAGGAACTTTTATATAGAAGCCACGATTAAGAAAATCGGCTTTAAAAAATCGTGCGCACTCTCTTGATCCTGATTATTTGACTGATGAAAATTGTACTTATCACACTTCCAATTTACATGAGTCTTGCATTCCTGTAGTTGGAGGTAATAACTTTCTTGGTTAGTTTTGGGGCATCTGCCCATTAGGACATTTGTTCAGGACGCCGAGTCACATAACGAATAAAAAAATCAGCGAAATTAACAGAAACCGCTCTTTAACTTGAAGCAGATATTCGACTAGATCTGAAATCTCATTATGACTTGGACGGCCTACATCTTAGGGCCAGTTGAGTTTTGGGGCCTATGCCCATCAATGCATTTATTCAGGACGTCGAGACACATAACATATGAAAAACTTAACCGAAACCGCTCTTTCACTTAAAGCATACATTCGAGTATATTGACTCCCTATATCTTGGGATCTGTTGAGTTTTGGGGCCTCTGTCCATTAAGGCATTTGTTCAACATTCCCAGTCACATAACATATAAAAAATTCAGCGGAATTAACCGAAACCACTATTTCACTTAAAGCAAATATACTAAGTGACATATAAATCCGAACACCCAGTTTAAATCGTTTTATTTTAATAAAAGTTGGTGAATGTATTTATCTTACTGTAAATAACAAGTGAAAAAATTTTCAGCCTTATCAGTTGGACATTCCGGTTTTTATACTGCTTTTTTTTAATTCACTAACGCTCTAAAAATGAATATTTTAGCCGCAGTAAAGAATCAACGTTGGCGGATTTTGGTTCTTGACATCCTTTACGATCGGTTACGACGCCTAGAGTACGGAGACCTGTATGATTTCGACAACTTAGTGAGTTTGATAGGGGCCGTATAGTGGGACTTCCGGAAGCTGGACTTTCTTTTCGGGCAATTGCAGTTAGAGTGCAAAGAAGTGTAGACACTGTGGTTAGGTGTTGTCAGGCATGGTTTCGAGAAGGCCGTACGCAAAGAGCAAGGGGCACTGGACGCCGCCGTAGAACAATAGACCGTGAAGATCGCCGCCTAAGATTATTGGCCTTAAGGGACTGTTTCTCCACTACCAGGTCCATTGCAAATGAATGGTTTGCAGAACACGGAAGACCTATTGGCATGCGAAGTGTTTACCGACGAATGAGAAGTTTTGGCTTGTTTTCATACCGGCCACACTGGGTCCTACCTTTAACTCGAGAACACCGACGTAATCGCCTTGAGTGGTGCAGACAACGGTCACTCTGGGATCAGGAATGGAACAGTATTGTCTTTAGTGACGAGTCTCGATTTTGTTTAGGCATGCACGATGGTCGTGCCAGGGTTAGAAGGCGACGTGGTGAAAGGAGGAATCCACAGTTTTTTGTTGAAAGACATGTTCATCACACTGTTGGAGTTATGGTTTGGGGTACTATAGCTTATGGTTCCAGTTCACCTTTAATCTTCATCAGAGGTAACATGAACGCGCAGCGTTATATCCACGAAGTTCTAGAACCCCATCTTTTACCCTATCTTGACACCCTGGCAGATCCAACTTTCCAACAAGATAATGCCCGACCACATGTTGCAAGAGTCACAATAGACTTCTTTCAACATAATGATGTCACATTGTTACCATGGCCTCCAAGATCTCCCGACTTTTCCCCAATTGAGCACGTGTGGGATATGATGGGTATAAGATTGCTCAATTTGCAACGTCCTCCTCAGACTCTAGAAGCACTT